GGCCAAGACGGAGGCCGGCGGTGCTGAGGGGCTACGCTTTTTCTTGAGCTACCTAGGCCTTTTGAAGGCCTAGCGTTGAAAAGGATGTGGGCATGTCTCAGGAATGCCTCCCTGAAATCTCTTGATAAGGTCAAGTCAAGGATGAGAAAAATAGCTCCTTTGGTCAAGTCAAGGGTGGGCGATGGTACTCACCAGAAGAGGTCACTTTTGACCCTTCAGAGGGTCACTTTTGGAGACCTCCAACGGGCCATTCGGCCGACCCGTTTGGTGTCCCCGACACCGGGGTGAGCGTCTCACGTTGGGCGTCACTGAGCGTATTGCCTCTCGGGGATCCGTGAGGAAGCGCTTGAAAAAGCGCTTGGAAAAAGCGCGGCTCGGCAAGGCGCGTGAAGCCGCGTGAGAGGCTCCGGTGGAAATCGAGGACGTGGTGAGCAAAGACCCCCTCTTTGCGCAAGAGAAGCAAGACAAGCGCAGGAGGGAGAGAATTGAGGGAGTTTGGCAGATTGGCCTTGCTGAAGCCGATTTGGAGAAACTGATCAGAACCTCTATCGGCCTCCCGCCATTTGGTAAAAAATAAGGAACAGGCAAAAAGCAATGCCAATGAACACATCGTGGATGTGAGATGAGTTTGAATTTCTTTTTTTTTCTCATTGATTTTTCGTTTTTTCTTTGAGATCTTCCAGTCTTCGGTCGACCTGGAGATTTTTCAGGAGGGACCTGGGTCTGGATGATCATAAGCTGAAGGAAATGCTTCGGCAGATGACTTTCATTTCCCTCGGCTCCTTCTGCAACTTGTCAGAACTTGCTCTTCTGATTTGTCCTAATTGCACCTGGTACAAACCTGAACAGGTTCACAGATCGATTCGCACGGATTCACACAGTTCTTTTCGAAAGGAGTAGGTCTTTGAACAGTGTTTTTTTTTTTTATTTTTTTATTTTTATTGTTTTTGAAGGCGCAACAAAGTCATGCTCGGAGACAGGTCTGGTGCGACATGCCTTGTGCGAGAACTGATTCTCATTTTCTCATTTTCAACATGAAGCCCTTTGGCATCTGACCTGTGGCTGAGGTGGAGTGGCCCAAGCGCTTGAGAGCCTGGGGCTCCGTCGTTGCTCCATGCCACTGGATTGGACGCGCTCCAGCGCAGAAGGAGCACCTTGGCCGGGCCATGCGAAAGGTGGGACGTTTGGATAAAGCAACCTTAGAACTACCAACTTAAGCAATCAAACGGAATCTCAATCCGGAGAATCGATATGTTTCATCTTAAAGAATCTCTTTATGTTAGGTATTAAGAAAAACAAACACGGATCCTTTTTGGCCGCAAGAGACTTCTCAAACATGTCCCCGTGGTTTGTGTGGTTCCTGTATGTTGCTGTCGCTGCAGCTTTGTGATTTCTTGCTGGTGGGGCCGTCCGCTGAGGTCTGTTGGTCGTGTTTGATGTTGGTGTCACAATAGATTCACTTCTAGTCGATTCCGAACCTGAACGACGGACCGGGGAGGGATGGATTTTTGAACAAGTTGGTTGAATAGTTTTTGAACGTTGTGTTTTTTGAATGGTTTGAACATTCAATCTGTTTTTCAACATGGATTTTTGAACAAACACCCGTTTGAATTGTTTTTTTTAACGTTTTTTGGAAGCTCTTTGGATCGTTTTTGAGGTTGAAAACAACAGTTTCGAGGGGTTTGGCAATGAAGAAATCAGGTGACCAGATTGGTGCGCAACGGCTTCGAGGCCTGCTGTGTAGAGTGAAGAGTGGCATTCCTTGGCATTGTTTTCACGTGAATAAGAGCAGTTGATGAAGCATGGATGTGTCCGTGTCTAGCTGTGCTTGTCATGATGGACCAAGCGCATGAGCTCTTAGGATGTGTGAAGGTGAACACCGAAACTAGATTTCCCAGCTTCCTTTCCACTAGTGAATTTCCTCGCATGATCTACCTAACCTACCCTTCGACGGCCTACTCCCCCAACTACGCACCTCAAACAAAACAGGATGTTTGGACAGTCTGCTCCGAGGATTTTCTGCAGGCCAGCGAGGCCGTGTGTATTCGCCAAGTGCGTGTCTTCCCCACCACCTGGGGGGGCTTTTGGCATCAAGCGCTCGACTGTCAACGCGTTCCTTGGACCCAAACTTGATATCTGCACATCACTGCGGTATATACTTGTCACTGGTCACTAGTCTCCTCATACCTCATCTACTATACCAGTGAGTGCAGTTCTCACTCCTCGCTGTCGGATGTCATTCGTTGCGCTTGCCAATCAAAAAAGCTCTCCCAGAACCGATCCGAGGATGTGGAGACGCTGAAGCGTCGCCGCGAGCGCTTCTTGAGTGCCGCGGGCGCTGCTTGGCGCGGCCGAGGGCTGACCATGGGAGCCATGGGAGATGGGATTGACAGAGATGGGAAAAGCCATGGTCAGATATCTAGATCGCCTGAGTTTCTTTCCGGATGGAACAACGATCTGACGATCTGTGCTTTGTGTTCAGAGTCTTTCTCTGTCAGAGTCTGTCAGACTGTCAGACTGTCAGACCGACATTCCTGGATTCCTAGACTTCAGAAACCAAAAGGTTCAGCTTATCAAAGACTTTGGAACAAGGATCAAGGGCTTTTGACGGATGAAACAGAGCTCCAAGTCCTCAACACGAAAAAGATTGAACAAGGGCCACAATGTGAGAACGAGTTCCACATCATATTCTAGCATGTCCAATTCCAGCACTCAGGACTTGACCTTTGTTCGCGCGGCCACTTGGCAACGGCCAACTCGAGTCGGGCTTCGTGACCGTTTCTTCGCTCCTCTCCGACTCTGTCAAAAGACTAAACAGTGGATCGTTGGCCTACTCTAGGTTGTGTTGGTCCCTCCTCTGCGAGTGTGCAACTTTTTCATGGGCTGCACCATCGGAGAGTTTTTCACAGCTGAGGTGAACAGCACTGAAGAGCTGTCAGAGATCAAGGCGCTGTACGAAGCGCTGTGCCAGCGATTTTATGGCTCGAGGCTGAAACTCATTGTGCTGATTGACATGCAGGAGCGCATGAAAGTGATGTGTAAGTTATGTAAGGTCAAAGTATCCTGGCACTTCAGTGACATGCTCTTGATTCTTGATGCTTGATTCTCAGGTATTTTTTTGCTAGTACTTTTATTGGGCGCTAGATTCAGCTAAATAGCAAAACTGCAACTTGCTTGATTTGACAATTCTAAAGTGAAGATGGTGGAGGGCTAGTACTTGTATTGGGTGGCAGATTCAACTAACAAGCGAATTTGCAATCTGTTTGATTGACAATTCTCAAGTGGATGTGGTGCCCCAGGCCTTTTGTACATTAAGTCATGCAGATACATGCTGATGTACAAGTTGTTGTCCCCCTGCAGGAAGTCGAAGAGACTGTAATTGTGCCGGAGTTTGGCAGCAACGTGGTCTTGTGCACATGCCGCCGCTATGTCTCCTGGCTGAGACCCTGAAAGGGACATGAGACGTCTCTCTGACACTTGAAAGAATGGATACTTTGTGCAACAAAACAACAAAGAGGCACGAGGAACCCACAAGGAAGGCGCAAGGAAGTGTGCCTCATTCGGCCAGGTCGCTCGTTTGAAGCAACGAAACAGCGGGCCTTGTTGTTGTGAATGAACGAGCCTTGTTCTTCCTGTGAATGGAGTGCATCTAAGACTTGGGAGACAGAGTTCGTGCCCTTGAATCACCCTGAATACGTGCCTTGGTTCAAATGCGTTCGACCAGCACGGTGAAGTGGTTTGGAAGTATCACTCTGGGACGAAGCCAGTTTTCACGAGAGACTATCAAGCTTTGTTGCAGTTCATGATACGGGATTGAACAGAATTGAACTTGCTTGTGATGTTCTTGTACCGAACAGCTTGATCACTGTGAATGTATCTTTTTTCATATGGAATCATATCGAAAAAGTTCATTTCGTCTTGGGATTTGCCATGTGATCTGCTCGGGAATTTGTCATGTGATTCGTCTTGGAACGATCAGCCTCGCTGCCAGATGCGCTTCCGCCTGGACGCAGTGGGCACCGAGTATGACCGCTGCTTCGCCCGAGCCCTGAAAGTTTGGGCCGGCAGCTGTGGCTATACCATGTGGCCCAGTTTGGTTTCTCGGCGGCTTTTCAAGTCGTTGGTCAAAATGGTCTTTTTCATTGGCGGATACACTATATAGACGAAGTGAAAAGATTATATTTTGCTTGGAGAAGGAAAGGAAGTTCCTTTCATTCACTGAAGCCTTTCAGATACCCTAAAGACCATTCTGTTCAAGTCTTTGACTCCAAAAAATATATATCCCTGTCTCTTTGTCTGATCTGGCCATATCGATTGGACATTTTCCTTTACCCTCTTGAATTCTTCAACCGTTTCGTGAATCTTTTCCTCGATTTCCAGATGAGGCGAGCTACCAACGGTGGTTGGGAGCATTCGGATCTCCACACCCCACCGTGGATTCCTTTGTTCCTCAGCGTGTGGTCCCTCGAGCCGATGCTCCTCGAGTGGCTCCTTGGATACTGCAAAGGTCGTGGGTGGCGTTGAATGGTGGGGTTATCCACTGAGTGATGCAGAAAGGAGCCAGTCACCCCATCAGGCGTTTCCACAGTAGCCAGGTCTGTTTTATCTTGAAACTCGTGTGTGCTTGCCATTGGCAGCCCGTTTTACTGTTTGGAAGGCGCATCATTTGTTTGTGTTTAGCCTCTATTTTTCTTGTTTTGTTTTCCGTTGGAAACACTTCGTAGCTTGTAGACGTGGCATCACATGGAAAGGTCTTTTCGTTGCGACCCTGTGCCGTTCCAGGTTCTGGTGAGGTGAATACCGCCTCCCGGCAGCTAATGCGCAGTTTGAAAGGAAAAGACCTCATTGCGCACGCAGCATTTCAGCATTTCTCTTAGTGTGCGCAGCATCTCACTTCCTTGCCCCGTTATATTATGAATGACCGCAGCCTTTTGGACGGTTTCAGCTCTTTGTTTCAGCTGCTTGTGATTCAGCACCATGGCCAGTTTGACCCTTGGATCCTTCATGGCCGACGGCGACGTGTGCGACGTGTGCGACGTGTTTGGGCTCGAAGCCTTGGTTCGACAGGCGTGAATGGATGTGTGTGCGAGTGTTCACCTTGGGTGAAGCCAGTTTCTTGGTGTACCATGTTGTAACAAATCGAGTGGCTTCCACACTTTTCGGCGTCTCTCTTCTTCAGCGTGTTGGGACCAATGGTGTGGGTAAGAGGGAAGAAGACTCGAAAGTGAGCACCACAAGTAACAGCAAATTATGGCAAACTTCCAATTCGATCCCACGTAGAATCAACTCACTCATCCAAGTGGAAAACGCTCTATGCCACACATGGAGACGCATGCGGCTACAAACCACGTGCCTCCGCAAACCCCAAAGGTGGCTTGCGGAGGAACCCTGAGGAACACCCTTCTTGTGACATCTTCTTTTTTAGGGATTGAGAGGTTTCAGTTCACATAGATGGGTGATCAACAACCCCCGCATTTGTTTTGTAAAACCACCACAGTATGGGCGGTTTTACTAATCGGCCGTCAGCATTAGACAGGTTTTCTAAACTGAAGGATTTTTCGAAACGTTCACACCGGCAGGGATGTGCTCGTGGTGAACGCTTCGGTACACGCAGTGACCCGCATGCAGTCATGAAGATGTTCATGCATCCTGACAACCCATTCATGGTAGCTCAGATTGGGTGAGGACTGTTTGCGAAGTGATTCCACCTTGTCTTCATTGGTCACCCATCGTCGATTTTCAATTGACTATATCATCATGATGACCACATCCACTCTGTTTTCTGAAGAATGCGGGCAACACATCAAGTGCACTTGAGCCCAAGCTCAAAACTCTTCCTTCCTTTGTGGCTAATTGCACTGGTGAGGTCTCGCCCACACACACACACACATGGCGCAATGCAAGAGATTTTCAAAATCAAAGGAATGAACCCAAGAAACAGAAGAAGTCAACGACTTCAGCAGCACCCTGACCACACCGTCAACGACTACTCGTTGCGTTTGACCTGGGTATTACCGTCCGGCTGGAGCTCAGGATTGGACAGCTCCCGGTGTGGATCGGCGCCACCTTGGCCACCTGGGCGATTTGTTGGTCCGTGATGAGCCCGGAGGCATGTCAAGAGTCCTCGACGTGCACCAAATATTTGAAGACCTATCCAGGAGACGGATTTCCCACTCGACCCGGACGACCTTCGCATCCACCTGACCGACCTGACCGATGTGTGACCGGAACGTCCGTGGGGGTGGGTGGGGTGGACACCCAACGAGACGACGAACGGATCGAGACCCGTTGTGACGAAGTCCGGTCTCGACTCGTTTTCTTCTTTTTGCGACCGCCACGCGGAGCGAGCGCTTTCGCTTTCGCTTTGGGGGGCGGTGGTTCTACTGGAAGAGCCGGGTTCTGGTGATGGCGCATGTTTTTGGTTCGAGTGACCGGATGGTTTTTTTCTGTGGAAGACCCTGATGTAAGAGGGCCAAGGCTTTCGAAGATGGTGAGGTTCCATGGCCAGCATCTCTCTCAGCTGGCCTTTCTGGTGCCGGGCACCAACTGTGAGTGCATTTCGATGTTGAGACGCATCGATCGCGTCCGATCGATCTCGTCCGATCGATCTCGGCATCCCTCCCTTATGAATTCAAGACCTGCGACCTGTTGCCCCAAACTGAGACATGTTGGCCCCCTCTCATTTTCGCCTTTCCCGCGGTTCCTCCATGTGACCCCCCCCCTCTGTCACCACCCCCAAACCCTCCCAAAACCCGGGGCGATTCCCGGCCCCTTGTCGCCACGCCACGGCGGCGCCTCGCCGCCAAACGGGCGGCAGGATACTACCACATCGTCTCAACGGCGGCCTTGGTGGCGATGGCTGGCCACGAGATCTGCGGCCTCATTGCCGCCCGGCCACGGCCACGCCGCGAACCCGCCCGCGGGTTTCGGACGGAGGGGGGGACGGAGGGGTTTCGGGTCGCGCCGCTGTTCCAGTCCTGGCGACGCCATGGCGCCACGACATGGCGCTGATGAGCGGTTGATTGATCCGTGGGTGTCTTGAAGCGTGATATGCTACTGGTTGACTCTTTTGGAAACTAAGCTGGAGGGTGGGCTGATTCACACGCCCGAGGCTGTCCGTGGCGGAACTCCGATCCGACATCCGTCCAAAAAATCAGGTGTTGGAGAAACATCGGACGAGGTGTCCGTTCGTCAGGCTGAACCGTTCAGACTTTGGCAAAACATCATGTGTACACTCTGTTTCTGCAGCTCCAGCTGAACCGCCTCGTCCTGCCTCGTCACTTGGTGATGTGTTGGGCCGTTGGGCTCTCTGAGGCCACCTATTTGGGCTCTAAGCAGACCCAAGCGTTGATTCCTCATTTAAAGAGCCGCTGCTTGTGCCTCGGCGATGTCATGTACGTGGGGGTCTGAAACGATGTCGACTCGTCTCGAGGTGTCGAAAAAGAAGCATTTCCCTGACACTTCATGTATGAGATAGACAGACAGAGATCATATGATATAAAGGTAACTCGTACCTGTACATTGGGGTGGTTGGTTGATTTCAGGGCTCCTTCTGGGGGCGGCATGAAAAGACTGACAGCTCGTGTCTGGGTGGTCGGAGTCCAGGTCGAGTCCGTCCTAGTCCTCCCTGGTGCCGTCGCCACGTCTGCGCGTCCCACCGGTCCGAGGCCCAGCTTCCTGTTGGCCTTGATGTTCGGCGTCCTGGCCACGGCCGAGCGCTTCTTCAGCCGTGCCGACTGGACCATCGCCCACATCGGGCCGAACGCCGATGGGCTCACGGCTCCGGGACGCCCCGTCTACACGATGCAGCCGCCGGGCGTGGCGTTTCAGGTCGTGCTCTATGTTCTTTTTTGTTTGGTGCGGGTTGAACTGCGCGGTTGAACTGCGCGAGCTGGACTGCTGGATTGTTTTTTTCTTTTTCCTGTTTTCCAGAATCTGGTCCAAGCTTCTCATCGAAAGGCACGGTCTCAAGTTGAGGTACATGAACTAGCTTGTGCATTGGGGAAAGGTAGAGCTTCCCTCGAGACAGTTCCCTCGACCCTTTTCAGCCATCCAGACCCTTTTGTTTGCTTGGGAGACTTCATCATCAGACTTCATGTGACTTCATGTGTGATCAGGTACATGGAGTGGGGCATCAACGTGCCCATCCTCATGATCTTGTCTGGCTACTGCAGCCTGGGCCGTCCAGTCTTGGAGGTCTCGCGCCCGCTGATCGTGACCAACGTCTATGTGATTTTCTGCTGGGCGGCGCAGGTCACCAGCTCGGGCCTTCTGAAGTGGATGCACCTCGCACGCAAAGGAGGGACGTGAGGGTAGGGGTTTGGGAGGGCCACTGGGTGGGTGGCAGAGTGGGTAGGCGAACTTGCTGTTTGAGTTTGGGTGATTGGTCAAGGGTTCTTTGGCTTAGGAAGGAAGAACAGACAAGGGCAAATCAATCAAGATGGCTCTTGAGCCGCATTTTTGATGGGGGAATCAATCTTTGCATGAGTCTCTGACAACCCATAACAGAGACTCTTGCAACGGATGTGTGTTGGTTGATGTTTCCCTCTAGTATGGGTCCTCAATCATTTGCCAACTGTCAATTGTTCTCCTGGTAGCATTTCCTTGTGTTTTGATCCTGCCACGAGACGTTCCCCCCAGACGCTTCGCCCACTCAGCCGTGGTTCTTTTCGCGCGAGCCACACGGGTCACCCACGTGCCTCCTCGGCCGCATCGCCGCTGCTTGTGGCTTGTGGCTTGTGGCACGGCGCCTGATGGCCAGGTTGATCTTCGTCTCCATGGCCATGTACGGCTGGGCCTCGGTGGACATGCTGCAATGGGTCAAGGACTTCGAGCGCTCCGCACCGCAGGACCTCCCCAGCCGAGGCCGCGGGTTGCGGCCGCGGGTTGCGGTTGCAAGGAGCGGTGTAGGTCATGCTTGCGTGGTGCATGGTTGGGTGCTGCGTGCGGAGTTGGAAGAGTTTAAAGAGTTGGGCTACACCTGGGGGAAGCATAGTCAAAAATGCGTTCCTATCTTAATTTACCTATTTGGTTTCTTCTATTTGTTAGCATTGGGCATTGGGCTTGACAGGTATGGGAGCTTTCATCAACCTATGAAGGATTCCTAGTTTCTACTTTCCACTGGTCATTGTTCTCAGTTGATTCATCATCTATCATCATTCTCCATTTCGATCATTTCGCACCTCCATCCATTAACACTCGAGAACACTAGGTGAGGTCTAGATAGTCTCGAATCGCTTCGCTCGGTCGAACCACTTGTGCTTCGACCGTGTCCCTTGGAGCGGTTCCCTCGGAGGCATCCGTCCATGGCTCTCCAACGGGCTGATCTTGGCCTTCGTCCTCTACGGTGCGCGGACGGAAAGACACCGTGTGTTTCACACTGGAGTCCTCCTTGAAGTGAAGAGAATTGGTTCCAGGGTCACCTCAGGGGTGTTTTATGTGTTTTGTTCATTTTCTCAAGTACATGTATTATATATATACTGTCATATACATTACAGATTTAGTTAATTTTAACTTTTCGATATTGATGCGACATCAACAACCACAAAAAGTGATGAATTAGTTGAAGGATGATAGGGATGTAGAATGCCTATACACATCTATATTGCACTATGGCACTATGGCACTACGGTTGAACATGAGCCTGCAGATGGCCAAGACTTCTTTTAGATGAGAACTGACATCTGGCAGCTTCTTCATGCCTTCTAAATCTTCTCAACTCCATCCTCTCCCAATTCCGTTTCTGCTTGTCACACCTCCCCCCCAAAGAATACACCACATTCAATGCAAGAAGATCTCCTGCTTCATAGGTGTGGTCTACATGTCCTCGGTGATGGGCCTGGTGGACGCCCACGCCGAGCGCAAGGGCTTCTTCGTGTTGACCTTCGGCGCCAAGATCGCCTACTGCGCCGCCTTCGTCTTCATCCGCGCGGACGAGTCGCTGAAAGAAAGAAGGGACGAAGAAAGGGATCGGACACGACGGAAAGCACTTTCCTCTTTGGGAGTAAAGCCTGGTGCGTGTCCTTGGAAGCTCTCAGATTTCGCTGACCAGTGGCAAGGTAGATTGAAGACAAACGATTGAACAGTCAACTGGCAAAATCAAGCCGGCTCGCCCGATCTTTATCGACGATTAAGGGGGCGCAGAAGTTCTTCAGTCAGGGTCTGACTGGGTCACCACCGGCAGATTTTCCTCCCTTCGAATGGCTCGACCTGTTTATCCAATCCCAGTCAACCTGTTCATCCGTTCCTGCTGGTCGACCTGAGGTATCACAAGACCCTGACCGATGTCCTGCGCAAGGTGAGCGTCTCCAACGTGGGTCACTTGGACGGCAGGATGGCTGGAACTACCCCCGGGCGGCCGTAGAGTAGGAACTGATGAACTCAGGCGTGGCGTCATGAGCTTGGGCTTTCACCGAGAACATCCCCCAAACATCGTGGTAGATTTTAAATGAACATGAGATATGGTGGTGCTGGAAATGCGGGTGTCCCTTTGGTGTCCTCTTTTTGTGTCTCGAAAACATAAAAAGGGACGCCCTCTTATCAATACCAATTGTGCTCATGATGCCAGCTTTGCCCTTGCATTCTTCGCATTTTGTTCACTTATTTCAGCATCAAACCAAAAACGCCAGTGGAGGTAATGTGGTCAATTTTTCCAGGTGTATTCAATCAGTGAAGGATCACCCCTTTTGATTGCAGGTCACTTCAACCACCTTTTTCCGCCCCCCCATCCACTATTTCACCGGCTGGTGGGTCAAGTCTTGCCTCCCCATACTTAAGAGTTCACATGCGCAGCAACCAGAGACATGGATGAGAGTGGGTAGATCTCAAGAAATCAGACCTTAAGGCCTCCCAGGGTCTGTCACGAGGTTCTTCCACTTCGGAAGTCCGTCCATTCCGATGCTGCGGGTTATATATAGCATCGCAGTAGGGGGAACCCGCCGATGCTTTTGTACAAATCTTGATGAATTTTCACCCTTGGGGTAGTGATTTTCAGCAGAATTCAAGGTAGTGATTTCGTGATTTGATTGATGTTTCACGGACACGCCGAGGTATGATCTCCATCCTCCGCGGCAGCTTCGATATCATCCTGCCCTGCGTGCTGGATGCCGCCGGCCGTTGCAAGTTGCCGGGCGCCATGTGTGGAGACATGGAAAAATTGGAGAAGATCCTTGGCATCGACGCATCGCTGTTTTCTTCGTATGTTTGTTTAGCAGGGCAATCAAGCATGTGGTCATGGGGTGGTCATGAAGCATTATCTTCATTCTTGTACTTCTTCTTTCCTTCTTTATGAACTCATCACTACAGTATAGGTTCTTCCTTTTTTGCTTGTCTGTGTCCAACACATGGTGTGGTCTTCTCGTTGTTCTTTTCCGCCCTTGTTCCTTCCGCTCCTCGGACCTTGCGGCTTTTCCTGCTGCCGAGGATGCTCGGGACGCGCGTGTTGGGCGCCAACCTGAAGGACCTCTTGGCCGGAGAAGATGCTTCGGCTCCGGTGCCGAGTTCGGGCCGGTGTCCCGTGTGGGGCGGGGGTGGGCCGGTGAGCGGGTGGTGGTCGGGGGGGACAGTAGATAGCTCATGATAACCCTTGTTTTAATTGTAAAAGATATAGAGGTGGAAAATGGTGAGAGAGATTTTTTGGGCAACTTCTTCCCTCCACTTGGGGAAAAAGCAACACACGCTGCAGGTCCACCAACACACGCTGCAGGTCCACCCCAGCCGCCCGACATCTCCTCCTCCCGGCCGTGCGCTCCGCCGTGCGCTGCGCTCCGCTGAGGAAGACAAGTCGGACTTCTCCGCCTACGTTCGCAACGTGGTCCGCCAGGCGGATTGCCCCCAGGGCACCGAGGTGAGTCTGTCCACCCAAGGCGCGCGCGTTTTCGGGGCGCCGCTGCCGCGCGCGGTTCGGCGCTGTGGAGTGGAGCTGGGGCAGGAGCGCAGATGTGAGATAAGAGAGGGAATTTTAATAAGCAGCGTAATGAATTATAATTAGAGAACTTACCGATGGCCTGTCCTCCATAAATAAATTAAAGGAGGACATCATGATTATAGATTTAATATTAATCTTACCATTGAATTTAAAGTAAAAGAGAAATATAAATATAATTTAATTTCAATGGTGAACCCCAGCTGCACTGGGCATTGAAGGACCCACAGGTTCGCTTTGGAGGACCGTCAGCCTCCCAACATGACTTGACAAACTCGGATCCTGGAGCGTGGAAGCTGCGCTTCGTCGCCCCCCCGGGTCCGCTCGATTCGCTCGATGGGTCCTTTCCATGTCCGCCGCGACGCTGGCGTCGCGGCTGACGTGGACGCTCGCGTCGTGTGAAAGCAAATGCGCAACCGACCGATGGTGTTTTGTTCCAACTAGCTCGAGGAATCCCCAACATGGAATCCACACATGTGCACCTAGGGAGATCCCGATGTCTCTTTAGATGCACGAAATTTCTCTTGATGTCGGAGAGCTTGTGCCGTTGTGAACGTTCCCTTCTCTTCAGGCATTTGGACCTGCTCTGGCGGTTCCATGCCACCCATCGCTCAAGTGCTGCACAGCCGCCTGGAGATGTGACGATGGGACGATGGGACGTGAGGTGATTTCGTCCACGCGGACGGAGGGGCAACAGGGATCTTCCATAAGTACAAGTAGAGTGCTTGGTTGCCCCAGAGTGGTGCTTCCAACTCCGTTCAGCGAAATGTGGCATTTGGTTCATGAAAGTGCTTTTTGTCATTCTGTATTTGTACAGTGACACCCCTTCCTTTCCACAAACCCTTGGAAGGCCTTGCGGCCGACTGAGGTCTTGGAGGATTGACTGGAGATAGTTTTTTTTTCTTACGTGGAGAGAAACCCTGCTCCTCCCACTATAGATGGTTCATGATCGTTCTCAAAGTATCATGACTTCACCAGCTTCACTTAAACTTCGCCACCTGCTACGTTACGCTCCTGCTGAATGTTCGAAATAAAATCCTCCACCAAATACGCTAAATGTCGCCCCAGCTCTCTTCCACATCTCCGATCTCCCCAAGGCAAGATGCTCTCGAAGACCTCCCAGGCGCGGCTCTCGGCCACGCTGCACCTCTCCGTGGTGCCAAGGAGCGCGGTGAGCCATGGCAAGGAGCGCCATCTGGTGGCCGCCATTCAGTTCGATGCCACCATGGCACTTTGGAACGATAGAGTTTGAAGAGGTTTGAAGGAGGTGGAGAAGTTTTTATTTTTCTGATTAGCAGGGGGTGTCCTGCAACAGGAAGGAATCCTTCTTCTTTTCTTTTTTTCTCTCCCCGCCCGTGTTCTTTTTTTGGGGTGAAAGCTGTTCCTCTTTAGTCTTTGGTGATGGGAGAAACAGGCCAGATTCAAGTGGCTCTTTTGCTTTGAGAACTCGTCTTCTTTGTTTCTTCTGTTTGCCCCCCCGGAGTGGAACCTGCTCCTCACTACGCAGCGTCTCTGCCGTCGCCACGCGGTCGCCGTTCGCCGCTCGTTCCAAACGGGATGGTGTGTGCCGCAGAGCCACTGAGGATGAGTCCAAGGAGGCTGACTTGCACACGGGTTTCGAAGACTTCAAGGCGCGGAGGTTTTGGGTCCGGACCAAAAAAGAAAGGCGTCCAGTGGGTCGTCGGTTTCTTTCCTGGATTTTTCGGAGGAAACACCTGATCAATGGCGAACTGTTGGGTGCTTTTGTGAGGGGACCACCCGACACATACGCAGGTGGAGGAGCACAGCTCCATTGGCGGCTCCACGAAGCTCTCGGAGGGCTCCGCCTCCGCCATCGTGGCCAATTTGGGCGACCTCACCAAGCTGGGTGCCAGCGTGGCTCGGAGAGGGGAGGGATGAAGGGTCAGATGGGATGGGGTGTGGCGTGCAACCTGGTGGCAGCTGCGACGTTCCATGGGTCAGAATGGTGCAGAAGTCGAGTGGGGTTGTTGCGTCCAGGGGCTCTCTGGGTGCTTTGAGGGGCCTGGCGGCCTGGCGGCTTTGAGTAGAATCATCCTCACTTTGAAGTCCCATCACTTTGAGGTGAACCCTCCCAGCACCTGAAGACCAGACTTCTGACTTCAGACGATCACACTGGACGTCCTCACGACGTCTTTAAAAGCTGGCCGCGCTTTCCGCAAAAACCACGAACAGATGCAGCACAAGTAGCTTTCACTCCAAAAACAAGCACCTCAAAAATCACCACAGGGACACAGCTGGTGAGATTCGGCCCCGAACAGCACCGCCAGAGCCTCTCCACGTGGCCCCGAACGAGCCCGACGAGCCCGCGTCCGCTGCGCGTGAGCGTCGCACGTCGGACGTCGCGGCGGCTGAGGGAATCTTGCATGGCACCTCCGTGCAAGAGAGCGATGAAGGCAGCCAATACTGGGGACCTTCGATTTGCACGGATGACGCTTGGCCGGCATTTTTTGGGGGGGCTCAGAACGAAGCAGAAAGGGAGTTAGGCAAGGGAGTTAGGCAAGGAATGCAAGGAAAGAACAAGGCAAGGTGGTGTCAGTGAGTTTCGGTGATGAGATGTGTGAAGATAAATAAATACAGGTTGATACATTGGACTTGATAAATGTAAAAAGTCATTGCTGGACCAGGATCCACACGGACAGTTCCGCTGGGTGGACGACCCTGTCTCTCTCAGAACCCAACGTTGTGGAACCGCCGACCACACGGGCGTTGCTGCACGTGACGCCCGAGAACGGGCCCGGCCCCGGAGGACACGATGTCCCACCTGGGCGCCTTTGCCGACATGAAGCGCGACGCCAAGACGCCCTTCTCTGGCGGCTTCGACGCGCGCATCGCCGGAGTTTGGCAAGGCAGCCTCTCCCGTCATTCGTAATGCGCGGGAGGGAGAGAGGTCTGGTGCTGCGAAGACAGCGTGGCGGTGGTGGAGGAGAGTTTTATCTGATTTTTTGTGTTAAAGAATCTAGTTTTGTTGTAGACACTAGACATTCAAGGACATTTTTTTGCTAGCACGCTACACTTGATTTGCTTTTAGTAGGCTATTCTTTCGTCAGCCAGTCCCTTTTGTTCGAGACAACCTTCTCCAACACCTAGTTTCATTTTGCAGATCTCTCAGCGTTGTTTTGATCCTCAGCTGGAAGGGATGATTTGTAACGATTGCGGGAATTGATGATCCAACTTAAGTCGTAATTGATGATTTGTAACTGCATGTAACGATTCCCGGCCCAGGCTTCAAAGGGTCCAGGCTATTTATTGAATAAAGACATCCCACATCCAAATCCCATTCAGTTCGGTTCACATGAACTGTCCGGTTCACATCATCTACTTCGCTTGGGCGGGGGGCTAGAGCATAAAGCAGCGACTGTAGATCCCATGCATCCACTGGAGCCACGAGCAGCGGAGAGCCACGCGGAGAGCTCTTCCCTGCTGATTCAGATAGCCCAGTTTCCAACCCCCACCGCCCTTTGCAAGTTGGGGGGGGCTCCTGCAGCCCGAGCATCTTCCGCGGCGCTCGCAGGCAAGACCAGCAAGGCCTTGGGAGGTTACGACCAGCGCATCGAGTTCCACAACGACGCTCGGGGTGTAAACGCGCGTGTGTTGCGAGGTTTTTTTACGTGCGCAACAGGCGACTCTCCTGTAGTAAAGCGAGGAACTCAAGGAAAGGGACAGTCACAATATGTGACTAGTATATACGTAGTCATACGTAGTCCTTCAATGGGGGTTAAAGTCTGTTGCTTCAACTTTCTTGGACAAATCTTTGACGTCCCAGAAGCGCGACGATCCCCAAAAACAGGGGAAGCAATGGCCAAATTCCTATTCTTGCGCCTGTTTGTGCGCCCCTGCGCGCTGGCGTGCGGATCGCGTGTCTGGAACCATCCACAGGACTGCATCCACGCGGCCGTCACGGTGATGGGATCCACCTTGGATGCGAAATTCCGCATGAACTGCTCGGTGGAACCCTGGCAACTGGATATCGAAGTGCTGCCCCAGGGCAGCAGCTGTGGCTCGGTATAGGGATCCGTTTCGGCGCGCAGCGAGTGAGCGAGTTAGGTGACCTGGTGTGACAACGGTTTTTTGCAGCAAGCTGCTGGAAGCCATGGGATCAGTCGCCCTGTTCACATGGTGTATTCTCAGATGCCAGTTTATGTGATATGAGGGATTTCAACCATGTAGGCTGTAGCTCATGTGATAGAGACTCTGTCTGGAGGGTGAAGACCCGACTGTATATTACTCATATGTAGACTCTTGATACATCACCCGCCCCACATGAAGCGGCTTTTCAATCCAAATGGGGTTCGATTGATTCCAAATGGGGTTCGTCTACCCTTGAGGATGAGGCGACGTAGACGCCGTGAGGAGGTCGGACACTTCCATGGAGGTCTATCGAGGCTTGGGAGGTCTATCGAGAGAAGCTTGGGAGGTCAGTCAGTCTCCTCCACGTATTCCCCCACGTCCTTTCCGCTTGGAGATGGCGTTGATTGCGTTGGATGGATCACTCCAAGGTCCAAGCACCTCGCTCACCCACCCCAAACAGCTCGCCGCCGAGTGTGTCGACTCTCAGGTCCTCCACCGGCCATTCCGTACATCTTCAAGTTCGTGGAGGGTGCTCTTCACCTCTGTGGCCCCAACAACAGCAAGCTGCAGCGTCCCACCAGCTTCGAGGGCGATGGGCTCTGCATCATGCACCGTGCCATGCCCCTGGTGCCGGCGGTCGTGGCGCAGCCACGGCAGGACTGCGCGCTGACGCAAGTGCCGCTTGGAAGCGATCTTCCTTTTCTTTCCCTATTGTTCCTGTTTCAGGGAGACAGGCTGGCACAAGCAAGGCACAAGCAAGGCACTGCTTTTTTGGAGCACGGGGTCTGGATTTGTAGGTGGACACCACGTGTACATTGGACATGTACGGGGGACACCATGCGGTTGGATGTTGAGAGGAATCATGTGTAGAAGTGCAGCGAGGTCATATGTGAGTCTGGTCTTTTTCTACATTAGGAACACGGTGGTTCACTTGGTGTGGAAGAATCTCAGGAGGAAGTCCCGTGGTCAGTGGCTGGCAAAGGAAAAGTATGGACAAGTACACGCCAGACGTTCTTTCGTTCAAACCTGTTCTGCAGGTCAGCATGTGTTCGCATGTTTGAAGGTTCCAGGTGAGCAGTTGGTAGATCTAGTCTAGGGTTTGACAATGAGCCCAAATCAAGGATAAGGATGGTCCCCATTTTCTTTGCGGTCTTCATGATTTAGTTACCTAGTAGTCATCCTTTGTACACGGCTGGTCGTCCGTTTGGGTTTGGTCCAAAGCTTTTCATGTACTGGCGGCTGAGTAGTAGAGGAATCACCCGAGTTTCACATGTCTTTCTGTCCAACAAGGGTCTTGAACAGAATAACAGCATATCACAACTAGACTACAACATCAATGGACGTTCAAAGTAACCTTTGAAGAACATCTCACCCACTATTGCATGGTGCTTTCGGCCAGGTATGCCACATCCCAAATCCACTCATTTTGGGACATCTGTGTCAAACCACCTAAGCCTGTGACTCACCTACTTGTAGATCCGTGGCCCCGCGCCCTAAGCCTTGTCCAGGCCGGACTTCCCAGGCCCAGACTTCCACGAACGGCCGGACGTCCGGCGCAGACGTCGGACGTGGCTCGGCTCGCGTCGCGGAGGTCCTTCGAGCCGGATCCGGAGTTCAGCCGCAACGTCACCGAGGAGATCGGAAGTGGAAGGGGTGGTCGTGGTCGCTCCAAGCGGAGCAGATGGGGGTCAGGTTGGGAGGTAGAGGTCGACTGTAGTAGAGGTCGAGGGGTGGTGAGTTGGGAAGAAGCAAGGCCTCCAAGCAAAGAAAACAGGTGGTGTGGGGAAGATAGAGAAGATATGGTCAGATAAGAGGAGCTTTCGCTTTGTTCGGTGGGCTGCATTCGTGAATTTCCTAAAGACAAGTAGCCACTTGCCCAATAAATTGATTCCCTGCAGCGTTTTGTAGCTCGGCGTGCCGCCGAACGGCGGTCATGATTCACTCCCAAAAACCGATGTCTTAGCACGTCCGACGTCCCAGTGGGCCATGCCATGTGTGGAAACGAAGACATCGTCGTGTCCGGAAAGAGACCCCAAAGACTTCGGGTTTTTTTCTCTTCCAGTCGGTCTGAACGAGCCAGGCTTTTTGTCCGTACTGGATCGCTCCAAAAAAGGGAAGGCGGACATGTGAAGAATCCGGAAGAACCTGTCAGGGGAGTTCTCCACACGTTTGCTTGGGAGTGCTCCCCGCTCATGCTGTAGTCAAAGCCATGTGCCCTCAGCGCGCCGAGCGTACAGGAGCAGCCCACCAAAGTATCCAGTGGAAAGGACCGTGGAGCACCCTTGGAGATGGTCGTGCTTGTTTCGCAGGTGTTTCGGAGATGCTTTACTTATGACTTACCGTTCTTTTCCCCTGGATTGAGATGGTTCTGTGGAGGAAACTGTTCTTCGGGACGTTGGTTTTCATGGCGCAGCCGAGGACTCTTTTTGTATCTTTTTGATTGTGGTCTGCAAGGAACACTTAGAGCCCGGACAACTTCATTCTTGGTGTGGCTCGATATTAAGTTTTTTAAACGGAGGGTTGAGGGTTTCCATCAAAGCCAGAATTTGGACCATCAAGAAGTGTTCGCAACTTTTTCCCAATTGCAAAAACATGAAACCACACATTGGGACAAATTTGAAACGCTGGCCCAGGAACATGCGAACGGGTGGTCAAACCGATGGAGCCTAGGCTCCAACGGCGGCTTCGTGCAAAGCTCCATCGGTCAAACTGGGGATACGATTTGCACCGCGAAGGCGAAACAACAAGGCATCCAGCCGCGCACCAAGCGCGGCTTGGATTTACCGTTTTAAGAAGACCTTTAAAAGATCAAGTATGTTCATGTACGAATCAACTCTATCTACTGCGCTAAACTTCACTGAGCCATGCACGCAACATGTCTCAACAAAAAACACATTCAGATTGATCAAACATGCCAACAAGGCAGAAGTTTCTGGATTCTGATGATCAGCTATAGCCGGCAAGCACATCATTTTGAAGGCATCTAGTCTCGCCACTTGCTCTTCACAGACCAAGCTCAGCAAATTTCATGACAAACGGCAACTCTCTAAGACTTTTCACCTTTGATTTCACAATGTTTTCAACTTGAAGGCCCTCACCTTCACCCTTTTGAAGGCCCTCAAGTTGTCTTCATTTTCACCATTCCCAAGTGGTCCATACAGAACTCCCACAGCTACCCCTATACTCGAGCCAGGGTAGCCCCTATCCCAGGGGCCTAGCGAGCTAGCCTAGC